ACCTCTTTTATGCTAAGTTCCTGTATCACAGTGTCATCCATGTAGCTATGTGATATCCAAATGACGCAACTAACATCTGTCAGGTGGTGTTTGTTCTCTTTCTCTCCCAAGTGGATGGAACAAGTGTCCTGTTTTATTTTTATTGTTGCTTTGTATTTATACCAGAAGAGACAAAACCAAAAGAATGTGCTTTGCAGTGGGAGTAGAAGATAGTGAAGGCTTGTGATGATCTGTGGTTCCTGGAGGAATTCACTTCAGAATCTCACGTTAACCTCTGAGAAAGTTTGGCCTCTTCTGTCCGGATGAAATGTCCTGTTATTACAGAAAGCTTCATTGCATTAATGATGGTTTCCTCCCCAGAAACTTAGGTAATCCTTTAAATGTTCTGTATCCAAGCCACAAAGTTCTTTGAAAACAAAGGCAAAAGCCATGATCCTACATGGAACTTGAATAGAGACCATTAGAAAGGTTTGTACATGTTCACACCAGCACATGGTGTTGATGGGATGCGCTGCAGATTTCTGGTGTACTTTGAATTGAATAAGTGCTAGAGGCTTTGTGCCCAAAATGTATCACATTTCCCAGCCCAGCAAGGACGTAAGGAAGACATGAATAACTGAGGCCTGGTCATTATCTGCCAGGATGGGATAGAATTACTTTGCCAAATGGAGATGATAAAAAATGTTATTAGCAGATGTTTTTATGTGAGAGCTCAGAATCAGCAAGGAATAAAAAAATATTCCTTAGCTGTGGAATATAAATTGTGTGTGTACCTTCACCACAAAAGCATGGCTGCAGATTTCAGGAACACCAGTCCTGCCTTACTGAAGCAGAACATGGATCAGCCATTCTTCATCCGTGTGTTGTCAGAGCTACAGAGGTTGGGTGCAGGAAAACAAAGGATATACACTGTGTACAGACTGCTGGCATTTGACTCTCATTAAACATAGCAATTCAGGCTCAATACTGAAAAAGGCTGATGGAATCCTTGGTCCCCATGGGACTCCAGAAGTTGAGTGACTAGGTAAGCATGTAAATCAGTGAATAAATTGGAAACTGAATCATCTGGTCTGTTTGTCTTTATTTCCAATCAACCAATCCTCCTACAGAAAAAAATTAAATCTACAGGCTAGGAGGAGCTTCCATCTCCAGTAGTACTAGAGATCTACCTTTTTCAGTGTTACTCCTGACAGCACCAAGGCATGTGTGAAGAGAAAGAGTTCACATATTAAAATTACATAGTAGAATTTACATTCCTTGTGATAGAATTCAAATGGAAATTAACATCCAGAAGGTTAAGGTGGGCAATCACTTCTTCCGCAATCACTTCTCCTAAACTAGTTAAGTGCCCTCAGATGTTTGTTCAGATTATGCACTGCATTTTAATTATAATGCAACTGTCCCAAGCTTGACAGCTGCTTCTCTGCATATCCAGCTGGCAGCACATTGGGTAAGTGGAGCCTCATTCATTCATGCAAGTGCCTTCCAAGCTAATCTGGATGTCTGGGGAGACTCAGGGTTGCCAAGTAATCTCTGCCCATTACAATCATTCTTCGCTGCTCCAAGACACAACTTGGCTAGTGGGTCCAAATAATTTTCAAAAAAATTCTCTGAAATGGGGTGAGAGCTGAGGAAAAGGGGTTTCTATTTTTGTAGACATAGACCAGAATTGTCTCTTAGTACCTTTCCAGTCCACAAAACAAAACAAGCAAGCAAATAGCAACAAAACCCAACAAAAACCATCTTGCTTCTCATGGTCATGAAGATACCATGAGTTTATGTCCTGGAACTTCATGACCCTAAGCCAGTCACAGTTACAACAACTGATAATGTTTTTCAATAGGGAATAGAGACGAGTTCTGGTCTGTCCTATCAGCTTGTTTGTAACCCTGGAAGACAGACCTGTGAAAAAGAAACTCTCATCCCAGCCAAAATCTGGAAAAGTATTAATGATAATACAGATCGAATTCTGTGTGGAAATAGAACTTTGTCAGGCAAAGCCAGTCCTTGTTCCCTTAGCTTCCAGGTTTGTGCACCACATCACAGTGATGAGTCCAAGTAAGACAAAAGGTAATGATATCTCCTACTTCTACCAATTGCCATGGACAAAAATGTTGGAAATCAGCTCTTGACGGTTGACTTTTTTTATTTTTTTTTATTGCAGGAGAACATATTCTCTGTGTCTGTTGGATACCTCACACCATCTACCAAGTCTTAATAAACCCATGTTCCTCTGTTACTTCACACCTCCAATGCAACCTTAGAGTGTCCAGGGTAGCATAGTGAAACAAACCTCTGGAGGAAACTATTTCAGGTGAAAATTTGGAAATGGTAATCATTGCACGTGTTCCAACGTGCACCCTTCTGTGTTCCTGGACTGTGATCTGTCCTAAGGATGCAGGAATCAGGTACCCACTGTCCCTTGGACTCCTTTGCCAGATGCTGTAACCTGTGTGGGTGTGCAGTATTACTAAACAGCACACACCCATTTCGAGTGCAACAGATAGGCTGAGAAAGCAGTGGAAGTTCGTTGGGCAGCAGAGATAGGCATGTCTCTGACACCTCCCAGAGATACGATTTACTATGACAGACCATATAGGAGAACATCTCAAACTGATTATGTATCTTATATCATGTTAAGGATGCCAAAAGCCACCTGTATCAGATGCAGGCACAATGGTGTGTCCTCGTTAAAATACCCTTTTGTGTAGCCATGAGTCTCACAATGGGGTGAAGAGCCAAGAATGGAGAAAGATTTTTCTGTGGTGAGTGAATACAAAGACAGGTCTCTCAGCGAATCCACTGTGTTTAAATGTGGTACCTACACAGCTACCTACACAGCCCTTGAACTGCCTGAGAAGTATGATAGCCAGCCAGAGAAGACATGGTAAGGTTTTGTCCAGAAAAAAATCTGGTATGTTTCCTCAGCTGTAACCTGAACTGAAGTCAGCCTCAGAACAGACTGCAGCAGTGTGACTGTGGGTAGCATCAATATATGACAGTTAATGGGTGGTTACTACTGCAAATGTTTGCATCCAGATCAGCCACCAGAAATGTGATGAAACATTGATGGGTTTCCTACACATTTCCCCAAATGTTCTAGGTCTTGACTCAAGACAGACATGCTTATTGTCAGCCAAGCTTGTTTCTGGTCTCCCCCATAGGCAGTTGTCTCCTGGAACTCTACTTACCTGCATGCTGGTACCTAGTCCTGATCCTGAACTTCTCCTAATTCATATTCTATCCTCATTGTTCCTGTCTTATTCCTAAATGTGCTCTGAACTCTATTAGTGCTGTTTGTTTTCTGGGGGGAGGGGTTTGTTTTTGGATGGATTTTTTTTGTCAAACACCTTTTTTTAACTTACATTGCTGTTACTTTTAATTGTCTCTGTACATTTCTGTTAGCATCTCTCTCAGGGCTAGGGTGAAAGAGATTTTGATGATGAACCCTCAGTGGCCACTCCTGACTCCCTGGATGGTTTCATGTTGCCTTGGTGATTTCATCAAGGTCTAGGATTAGTAAAAGAAGGATCTGGAGACATGACATGAAGTTGATGGCTGAAACCAGGTTTTGGGTTAAGGATTCAGAATTAAGTTTGCAGATCTGACGAGCCCAGGGGTCTCAGTGACAACAGGTGGAGAGGTCCATCTGAGGCATGAGCTACTAAACCAGCTATTTGAGGGACCCACATTATGTGCATATGTGTACCATCACCACGTGTCAAATTGGGCAAAAGGATAAACCAGCATCTGAGAATAAACAGCAACAGAGCTGGTGCCAATGTCTCTGGGTATAGATATTGGATGGATTTAGGGTCCATGCTGATATTTAAGAGACCAGTGAATGTGAGTGTGCTTGTGAGATGAGTGAGTGGATATACATGTATTTTCTGCAAGCAGCCTTGCTTCTTCCACACTGGGATGGAACAGACCCTCTTGGTCCTGAAGACCACTAAATTTGGTTACCTCAAACAGGCTGCCTCTAAGCTAAGGTTGGTCCTAGAACTATGTGTTCAGCAGGTCTGACTGTCACCTCACTGGTATGCTGTCCTGATTTCCTCTGGGTAGAGGTCATTTTCTTCTTTTAGAGTCTAGAGTAGCTATCAGAGCAGATACCACCATAACAACCTCGTAACACTCCCTGACCTTATCATTTTCGCTTGCAACATGCAGGTACCAAGACATTCTTGGCCATGTACTAACACCTCTGCTACTCTCAAACACACAACCGAACTTGATTCAGAGCCTCAGAACATGCTGAAATATCTAAGAAAGTAATCTGGTCTTGAAGGCAGCACGAGGGTAGGTCTCAGCATATCATTCTGACATACTCATTCTACTTCTACCCTAAACTTTCCCAGAGCATTCCATTGGCACAAAGGCCATCTGGCATGGAAAAGTCCACGCACATGCTAATCCTCGAGAACACAATGGCTTCTTCCAAACTGCCTAGCAGGAGCTCATGAGCTGTGGGAGAGCCCTGATTAGCCCACAGCCTTGGGCCAAAATTCTGCCCCAGGTTGCTGTTGCAGTATATCAGCAGAGATGTTGCATTTCTATGCTGGGAGCCTCCTTGGCTCCATCACATCTATGGCCACAGCCTCTCTATCTCAGGCTGAAGACCCAAGGTAGACAGAATGGCTATTGCAGAGCCATTTAGTCTGCCATGAGACTCAAAGACTGATAATGCATCCTCCCATGGCCATCCGTCACGATTCACAAAGCCAGTATGTAGGGACAACAAAAGTCTCGGAATCATGACATGTTACCTATTCTGCCAAAACCACAGTGACCTTAGGCTGGTTAGGTGTGCGAACCTCCTCTGCTTAACCCGGAAAAGGAGCACATATAATTTGATATACTTTCGCTAACCAGAACGAGCTCACCTAGCCCTCCGCCTAGCGGCGGAGAACTACAACCCCCACAATGCGCAGCGGCACGTTGGCCAATGCGAAGGCGCCCCCAGCGGGCCCGGTGCGGGGCTCTTCGGGCGGAGCGTCTCTCGGCCCGGCGGGATGGCTGCGGCGGCGCTGGGGCTGACGCTGGGCGGAGGAATCTTGCTGGCCGCCTGGCGTTGGCTGCGCGGCGCGACTCAGGCCGCCGTCGTGTGTGGGGCCTCCATGCGGGGCAAGACGGTCATCATCACGGGGGCCAACAGCGGTCTGGGCCGGGCGGCGGCGGCCGAGCTGCTGCGGATGCGGGCTCGCGTCATCATGGGCTGCCGCGACCGGGCCCGGGCCGAGCGGGCGGCCCGCGAGATCCGGGCCGAGGTGGGCGAGCGGGCGGAGGATGAGGGCGGCAGCGGCGAGCTGGTGGTGCGCGAGCTGGACCTGGCCTCGCTCCGCTCCGTCCGCGCCTTCTGCCACCGCGTCCTCCAGGTACGGCCGGGCGGCGGCGGGGCGCGGGCCCGGCCCGCGAGGAGAGCGGGCACGCGGGGGTGCGGTGGAGACATTCGCCTGCCGAGGAGGCCCCGGGGTGCTTGAGCTGGATGCTGGCAGCGTGGCGGCGTCCTCCGAGCTGTGTACTAATAGGCTCTTTGCTGATCAGGCAGTCCGGTTCGGTGTATGGGGTGTTAAAGGGTTCACCGCAGCGTTTTGAAGGAGGGTATAAGTAAATTGGCCGTGGATTAGTACCTGGAAGCATAAAGTTCGTACTAGTTTGGTCTATCATAGTCAAAGCTATTCTGGCTCTTTCCTGTTCTGAAAAGGAAGCACTTCTGCGTGCGAGAAATGATTTGTCTTCTCTCTTAATTCGTAGAATCACAGAATGATTTGGTTTGAAAGGGACCTTAAAGATCACCCAGTTCCAACTCACCTTCCACTAGACCAGGTTGCTCAAAGCCCCACCCTACCTGACCTTGTACACTGCCAGGGATGAGGCAGCCACAGCTTCTCAGGGCAACCTGTGCCAGTGCCTCAGCACCCTCACAAGAAATAATTTCTTCTTAATATCTCATCTAAATCTCTCCTTTTTCAGTTTAAAGCCATTCCCCCTTGTCCTATCCCTACATGCGCTTGTAAGAAGTCCCTCTCCAGCTTTCTTGTACGCCCACTTTAGGTACTGGAAGGCTGCTCTAAGGCCTCCTCTGGAGTCTTACCCAGGCTGAACAAGCCCAATTCTCTCAGCCTGTCTTCACAAGAGAGGTGCTTCAGCCCTAGGATCTTCAGTTACTCTACTACTTTAACCTGCCTTTTTTGCTTTAGATTGGTGTTATAGCTCAGCTTTGTCTCCAGAGAAATGAGTTCATGAATGCACTGTTCACAGCTCCAGTCTTCCTTCTGCCACCTCCTCAGACTCTGTCCCCCCATGCACATTTTTTGATCTCTTCACCGGTGCTAGCAGAGTTTAGTAGACGTACATTTTTTTAATATAAAACGTTTCTGCAGAGTCCCTGAAAACCTGAGTTTGAGGAGAACGGGTGCATGCAGTTGATTCACCTGACAGAAACACCACTAGGTGAGTTCAGCATTAGACACCGGTAAGCAGATGGAGGCACTGTTGGAGGCAGTATTCCTCCACTTCCATTGAAGTATTTCACTTCCATGAAAAGTATTGTTTGGGATTCTCATCTCACCCTATCTAGCTACTCAAGCCATGAGACACAAAGTCATGGGAAGCGAGGCTTAGTATATCTGCTGCTGCTCAGAGCAGTGCTGAAGTACTTGTCAGCATCCACTCAGGCATCCCAGGGCATTGATTTTCAAATAACTTTTCTTTTAGATATCTGGGAAAAGTCAAAGTTTCAACTTCATTAGTGGTGCACTTTGAGGTCATATTCATTCAAATCCAGCAATAAAGTCTAGCCTTCCTTCAGTGTTCTGGGAAAATATGCATACACAAAAGGATATAACCCACCCATCATAAATGCAAGAAAAGAAACCTGTCTAACTTCTGAGAATTGCCTTTTTTTTAGTACCAGACATGAATTTGTTAGGACCTCCTTGTTGGTAAGCCAGTACAAGTGACTTTTAAGCAAGAAGTGGGTGAAGGAAGAGAGAGCGTGTACCTGCAGAGTGCTGCTGACACCTGCATTTTAACTTGAGTTTTTCAGAATAATCCCAGAAGCGTCTGAATTACAAGGGGTGTGAGCTCAAGAAATAATTTGAAGAGCTGTGCCTCCCAAGTTCGTGGATTTTATCTTTAACCTTTTGGGAGCTTGTTTTTGGAGCTGATTATTTGGGGGATTGTTGGGTTGGTTTCTTTGGGGAGTTTTGTGGGGTTTTGTGTTGAGATTAAGAATACTTAAATATAGTCATGGGGAAACAGTGCACTCCCACCACCTCACTTAATTTGTGGAATCTTTGCACAGCTGCAGTTGATCACATCTTGCACTTGTTTATCTCACTGCAAAAACAATAAAAGACTTTGAGATGTTGGAGGGTTTTATGGAAAAATGGAGAAAATGGAAGTGAGCTCAGGAGCTACAAGGGATAACGGCTATCAGAGCAGTGTTCTATGCACTCTGTTGCACTTGGGCATAGCCACTGCTTGCTTCACATTGATCGTATTACTCTAGATTATTTATAAGCCTTTTTATAACAGCAGGTAGGCATAGGACAAGGGGTAATAATGGCTTTAAACTGACAAATGGGAGATTTAGACTGGACACTAGAAAGAAATTTTTCACTGTGAGCGTGGTGAGGCCCTGGCACAGATTGCCCAGAGAAGGTGTAGATGCCCCATCCCTGGCAGTGTTCAAGGCCAGGCTGGCCAGGGCTTTGAGCAATCTGGTCTAGTGGATCATATCCCTGCCAGTGGCAGGGGGCTTGGAACAGGAGAATCTGAAAGCCCCTTCAAACCCAAACCATTCTGTGATTATGAAATATAGGAGTCTCAGCAAATAGCACATGTGGAACTCTTGCTTCTTGAAGTGTTAGTCTTGGAAAATAAGCCCTTCAGTCAGATGCTGCAGAAAGTTTCTAAAGCAATTTTTTTCTCAAAAGAAGAAAGAAATGTCACTTCAATGAACAGATCAACAATCAGTACTTCTTCAGTCCTGCCCCAATTTAGAGATGGTAACTATTATGTCCCTTTGGGTAGAGAGAAGTGAGTGATGGTCTTTGGATCATGCCTCAGGGACTCAATTATATGAAACACTAAGCAACCTCAGGTCCCACAGAAGTAAATCTTGAGGTTGAAGTACTTGATGTTTTGTGTGATCAGATGCCAGCATTGTTAACTGAATGCTAAGTGCAGATTTTGATTTTACACTCTATGTAGTATTGCTGCTAATGGCAGTCAAATAAAAGGCAAATGGTACAAAATTCATTTTGAGGTTCTCTATTTTTATCATCAGATAAAATGCTTTCCAGTGCCTGCATTGGGTTTAAAGAATGAACAGCAAAGAAAATTCATGCTGCTTTTTCTATAAAGGGAATGCAAATTCACTTATGATTTGTGCATGCATAAATTTCCTGTGATACTTTCACAGTCTTTTGCCAGAGGTGGGTGAAAGTGTTGAATTTGGAGCTTCTTTAGGCAGCTTACTTTAATCTGGGTTATTTGTTGCTTGTTTGGTTGGGGTTTTTCTAGAAGAAGTTACTGTTTTGGGTAAATTGGAGAGCTCTTAATTTTTGATTGGATGCTGGAGCATGAAGTGCATGTTACATTATTTTTAAACTGTCTGCACCACCCTCTCTGTTGGTTATGTTTCCTGATTCTGTAGAGTGTAGCATACCTCCTTGAGTCTGTTTTCTACCAACCTGAACGAGAATACTGATCCATCAAATAGCATGTGCTGAGCATGTCATAAATATTTCAAGTCTCATAGTTATTGACTAGACCTGTTAAGTCTCAAGTTGTATGAAATATTAATGTTACTTTTATATGATGAGTTCTGCTCCATAGTTCTCACCAAGCAGCACAATGACATTATTTTAAAATAAGACAGTGTTTAAAATCGTTAAAACACTGTTTTGCAAAGTTCTTCATGACATGCTCCCAGTGAGATAATGGGTCTGCAATGTAATAGTTTCTCTTCAGTCCTGAGGTTAGTTCTTTGAGCTACTGCTTTCTGTTCCACATCTGTGTCTTTTGCACATTAGAACCCTTGCCTATGGCCGAGGTTTGCCATAAATTAATGTGTGTGCTTTTGCAGCACAATAAACACGTACTTTTTAGAGGAAAACAAAACCCATCACAAAGATAAAATTATCATTGAATTTCTATAGAAAAAGCTGCTCCTGTTGATGCAGGTGATTGTTTTCTTTGCCTGCATTGAAATTAGATACAGACCTAGTCTCATGTACCTGTATACTGGTGGGGTCAAGTGCTCTCTTTAATGCTAGTTCATCTTAGGGTTTGTGTTTTTTCAGAAGTGCTCTAAGAGAATATCAGGAAGTTACAATTCAGAAAACTAAGAATGAAATTATTTGTGACAGTGGCCAATGATAAATATTAAGCATAGTGGTATGTTTTGCATGACAATTCTAAAACGGAATAATTTTTTTCTTTCCTGTCTAAAGGAAGAGCCAAGGCTGGATGTTCTGATAAATAATGCAGGAATATTCCAGTGTCCGTACATGAAGACAGAGGATGGGTTTGAGATGCAATTTGGTGTAAACCACTTGGGTCACTTCTTGCTCACCAACCTTCTTCTGGGCCTCCTCAAAAACTCTGCTCCAAGCAGGGTTGTTGTAGTATCCTCAAAGCTTTACAAATATGGAGAGATCAACTTTGAAGACCTGAACAGTGAAATAAGTTACAATAAAAGCTTTTGTTACAGTCGGAGTAAACTGGCTAACATATTATTTGCAAGGGAGCTAGCCCGTCGGTTAGAAGGGACAGGAGTCACTGTTAATTCACTTCATCCTGGAATTGTCAGAACAAATCTAGGCAGATATGTGAATATTCCTTTGCTGGCTAAACCCCTATTCAACTTGGTGTCATGGGCTTTCTTCAAAACACCTCTGGAAGGAGCACAGACTACTATTTATTTAGCCTCTTCTCCTGATGTCGAAGGTGTGTCAGGAAAATACTTTGGGGACTGCAAAGAGGAAGAGCTCCTGCCCAAAGCCATGGATGACTTGATTGCGAGAAAGTTGTGGGATATCAGTGAAGTAATGGTTGGCTTATTGAAATAAGTGTCAGGGGAATCTGCAAAAAAGAATGCAGATAACTATGCAATGCGTATTTGCAACACTCTAATTCTCTGTTTAAATGGTGTGGGAATGCAGATTACTTTGCTCAGTAAGTATTAAACAAGGGAGTGATTTATGCTGGAACTCTGTTTTGAAATAAAGGACTATATTTAGTAGACACAGCATTCAAAAATGTCTGAAATAGCATTTTAGGGTGTGAATATAATTTCTGATTAATCTGCTTGGAAACTCATGTTTTACAAATAAAAAATAAGCAAAACTTCTGCAATACATAGGTATATTTGTCATGTTGCACTGCTTGCAGCTGGGCTGGACAATGCAGGGTACTGATGGTGAAACACTTCTACAAACAGGTTTTGAAAATAGGTCCTAATAATAATAATACGTTGTTGTCTTTTTTTGAGCCATCATTATGAAGAATGGAATAAAGAGTTCTACTGTTACCTTACACTGGAATTGTTCAGGCCTCAGTGCTGTTGGCAGCCTGATGGTGCAGTGAACAAAACTGTTGAGCTGCATACAGTTTAGTTGTGAAGCACAAAGGCTTTTTTTAGTGATGTCACTGTTATTCAGTGAGTATATACTCTTGGTTGTGTAAACTGTGTTTTTATTTTCATGTGTGCTGAACTTGCTATTTCTTGATATGCAGACATGCATTAAAAATGTACTTGACAGTCTCGTTATGGTCTTTATAAGGCTTTGCATGTAATGAACTGTCTGCATTCAAAGTTCGTAAGACTTCACCCAGACTGAAGAGAATACACTTTTCAGTGTGTGTTTGGCTTGGCTGATGGCACTTTAACTCAGTAATGAGATTAGATAAGTCTGTATGATGCAGCTTACTGAATATTAATGAATATTCTTTTAAATAAAAAAATCTTTTTAAAAAGGATTTAGCATTCATTCTTTCACTATGAAAGATAGATCAGCAACCAACAGTCCTGATATGGTTGCTTTGTTATAAAGCAGAAGATTCACTTGTACTAGTAGACCTGTTGTGAAGGCTTGGGAGAAATAAAATGGGCTCCAAATACATGGGTATTATATAAAGCTATGGTGACTTACTCGTTTTTAATTCATACAACTTGTGGATTCATACTGATATTTATGACTTCTTATTTTGCTCTACATTTATAATACTTTCTAGCAGTTAAGATCATAGAATCATACAATGTTTTGGGTTGGAAGGGACCTTAAAGATCGTCTGGTTCCAACCCCCCTGCCATGGCAAGGACACCTTCCACTAGAGCAGATTGCTCAAAGTCCTGTCTAACCTGCCCTTTAACACTGCCAGGGATGGGGCAGCCACAGCTCCTCTGGGCAACCTGTGCCAGGGCCTCACCACTCTCACAGTAAACAGTTTCTTCCTGTCTAACCTCTGTCAGCTTGAAGCTGACGGGGAAGGAATCTTCTCAGTGTGCAAGAGCAACATGCTTCTCTTTCATCTTAAAGCCGTTCCTCCTTGACCGATCCCTACCTGTCCTTGTAAAAAAGTCCCTCCATACTTCTTGTAGGTGCCTTTAGGTATTGGAAGGCTGCTTTAAGGTGTATAGAGTAAGTATGGAAGAACAGCTACAGGCTGAGCAGAGAAGAGATTCAGAGCAAGCCTTCGGAGAAGGACTTGGGGGTGTTGGTTGATGAGAAAATGAACATGAGCCAGCTTCAGTGTGTGCTCGCAGCCCAGAAAGCCAACTGCATCCTGGGCTGCATCAAAAGTCCAAGGAGGTGATCCTGCCCCTCTACTCTGTTCTTGTGAGACCTCACCTGGAGTATTGTGTGCAGTTCTGGTGTCCTCAACATAAAAAGGACATAGAACTGTTGGAAAAAGTCCAGAGAAGGGCCACGATGATGATCAGGGGACTGGAGCACCTCCTGTATGAAGATAGGCTGAGAAAGTTGGGGCTGCTCAGCCTGGAGAAAAGAAGGCTGCGAGGAGACCTCCTAGCAGCCTTCCAGTATCTGAAGGGGGCCTATGAGGGTGCTGGGGAGGAACTTTTCGCTAGGGACTGTAGTGATAGGACAAGGGGTGATGGGTTAAAACTTAAATAGGGGAAGTTTAGATTGGATATAAGGAGGAAGTTGTTTACTGTGAGGGTGGTGAGGCACTGGAATAGGTTTCCCAAGGACGCTGTGAATGCTCCATCCCTGGCAGTGTTCAAGGCCAGGTTGGACGAGGCCTTGGGTGATATGGTCTAGTGTGAGGTGTCCCTGCCCATGGCAGGGGGGTTGGAACTAGATGGTGTTAAGGTCCTTTCCAACCCTAACTATTCTATGAGTCTGTGATTCTATGATTTAGAATTATTGTTTACTTGGACTCTCAGCATAACTTTTGCACAGTGGACTGGGTCTCATGTAGCCTTAAGCTTCACAGCAAGACTGCTCTGTGTGAGTGACTTGGGTGGGGGTGGAAGTCAAGCTGTGAAGTGGAGCAGGTTTTTAAGATCTTGTAAAGTGGAGCTTTGCACTGCTTACTGTAAGGCACAGCGTAGAGATGTGTGTCCTGTCAAAACATACTCTTGAGTGTTGAGTAAAGTCCTCTGAGTAATGCCAGAGGGAGGTGTGTAACATGCCTAGAGAAGTTCTGCTTTGATCTTCAGTGTTGCATTTCACATTTTCATTCAAAATCCTTCTAAATAGCTGCATGGACCACCTTTAAACAAGTAGCTAAAGAATTAAAAGTTCATTAAGGTCTCTGTAAAAACACAATGAAGTCAAGCCAAGTTTGTGTTTTCAATACTACCCTGGCAAATCTAAAGGAACGCTATTGTTTCACTGCTGAAACATGTTACACCTCTTGCAAGGAAATCCTTGGATGCAAAAGTGGAAGATGGAGAAGGTAGCTAGTCTGAAAATACTGTAATAAATAACTGCACCAAAACTGGCTGAAGAGCAGAGAAATACGTAGTTTTTCAGACTGAGTGACCAACATAAGATGTGCACTTTCCTTCAAAACAGCAAAGGTGGGTTTGTAATGAAATAAGAGGTGTGTAATAAATGAAGCCTTGGGTGAGATGGTTTAGTGTGAGGTGTCCCTGCCCATGGCAGGGGGGTTGGAACTAGATGATCTTAAGGTCCTTTCCAACCCTAACTATTCTATGGTTCTATGTTGCAGGCTTGCATAACATGTAATACTTCATACATCTGCTAAGTGCTTGTTTTCATTTTCTTCTGAGATTACATTCCTGCAATCATAATTAAATTAAAGCCCTCCTTCCAGAGTAGGCGAGTGATCACATGATACCTGTAATGGAATGTTAGTGAATTAATAATGCCTGAAAAAAAATTAGAAGGGTGGATTATTAGGAACTTACAAAAAGGTAAGCCTTTTTTTCAACATCTGAAATCAGTAAATTTTGTCACTTCCAAGGTTGAATGTAATATAGCCTCTGCAGACAAGAAGACTTCGATTAAATCTCTTGAGACTGCTGCTAATGTTTGTTCACATGATGCCTTTGTTATTATAGAAGCGTCCAGGAACTGGAGACCTTGTAGGTCAACAGATCTTGCAAAATGTAAGAGCAAAACCAAAGAAGAGCCCTTATTTCAACAACCAGTAATGCTGACTCTGTCTAGGATAGAACCAAGCATTTTGGCAAAAGAAGTATCTTTGCTCTGCTCTGCTTTACAGGATCTTAGTAAACTCAGACATATATGTTTATGGTTTGAGGACTATGTTGAATATCCCCTCTTGGAGCTCATAGAGGATGCTTTAGGAGGAGATCAGCACCTTCATACTTCACCCTAGTATAGCAGTGCCTCCAAAAAGATATAGCAAGCTCTATATATGACTATTATATAAAAAAATTGTATGAAGAGCATGCAGCCAAAACTAGGATGCCTTCCAGATAACTCTCTCTGCCATCACCACCATAAGAAGACCATCATATGAACACCACTGCCCTCAAACTTACTTCCCATGAAAAATTAAACTAGGATAAGAGGCACTTCCCATGAAGAATTAAACTTTAGAGCGAAAGGCAGACAGTGACAGGCGATGGCATGCAAAGCCGATTGAAATGGAGCTTTCATTGACAGGTACACAAACTAGTCACTGTGCTGGCAAGTACGTTACAGATATGCAAGGACATAGATCTTATTGGGGTTTGTGATGAACATAAATGTTACAACTGAACTCCTTCCAAAGCCAAAATGTACCTTCAGCTGTCTTACATATATTGGTAGAATTTGAGTATTTGATTTTTGGTCCACCAGCAGTGTTGGGCCAGCTATCCGTATCTGTGGCTTGGGGATTTAAAAACTGGGATGTGTACAGGGCACAGGGACTCCTGAGAATGTAGCCCTTAACCCTTTGCTTTTCACAGGGAAAATGCCTCTGCTCTGCCATAGCTGAGAGGTGGAGGGCCACAGCAGTGATTCACTTTGACTATTTGCAGATTTTCCCCACTGGAGTCTTCAGCCAGTCCCAGCAGCAAGTGGAAATGCTTCCAAGTGATCCCATTTTGTATGGCAACAACATTGCAGACTAACTGTACTCGAAAAAGTTTATTTTTAAATCAGTGTGTGAGAGTGTGTGTGTGCTGACGTGTGCAGGTGCAATTTAATTCTTCATTTTGTAAGACAGACAGTAGAACTGTCAGTGGTTCACTGAGGAGCTGAGGCACGGAGGAGGGCAGGTAGTTAGCATGGAGTGTTGCCTGCTGCCTGCACTGCTTTGATACATGAAGGGTGAGACATCAGGCTTGGGGGCAGATCTCTTGGGCTTGAGCTCAGTGTTGGGCTCAGTTGCTTAAAGTTTCATCCAGGCAGACATACCCGTTTGTCTGCTTCTGCAGCCAGAAAGCACACAGGCACAGCCCAGCGGAGGAAATATCTCCATGTAATGATCGAAATGGACCTCAAGTGCATCAGTATGATTTATTAATCTTTGGCTGTGATGCTTTTGAGAGTGCCCCTGTAATGAACTTCCCTCATGGAGAGACCAAGAGTTTAAGAAAGAAACAATTTCCTTTTTTTTAAAATTTCTTTCTTTCTTTTGATTCTCAGTCCCAGGCCCTATAGCTATAAGCCAAGCCTCCCTGCACACATGTAGCTATTATAGCTGAGATTTCTGCAAGTGAAATAAATTGCAGTTGCATGTATTTATTTTATGTGCCCCATCTGTTTAAGTCAGGGGAGACTTCACGTTAAAAAAAAACCCAACTAACTTGAATTTGTCGCCAATTTACCTTCCTTACCTTGCCACAAAGGCCAACATCTATCCCCAAGCAAAGGGACAACGCCGCTCTTTCAGTTACTAGTCAGCACAGCAGGCAAGCTTACAAACCCAGCAGGGGTTCTCCAGGAAAAGTTTTCCATCTTAATGAGATAAATGATCATTTTTTCCGTGATGCAGTAAACCCAGAAGTATTTAAACTCTCTTTCTTCAGCAGCTGCTTGGTTTGCCTAAGCTTCCTACTAAGTGAATGCTTCACAGGCTTCAAAGCCTCAGCCCTGTGAATGTGGGGTGTGATTATGTTTTTGCTGAAAAATGTGGATAATTCCCACTTCAAGCACACTTAATTTCTTTCCACCTAAGGCTATAAAGAAAATAAACAACTTGCAAGAGTCATACAAATAATTTAAAAATGGGAGGCCTGTTCCCTTTTTCACATAACTTTTTCCAAACTAATCACTTACAGAGTAATTGACTTGCAAAATGATCCAGGAGGCCTCCACAGCTGAATTATTATTTTTGATCTCTCCCAGAATGGTGCTGCTATTTCTCATAACAGAAAATGGCTACCTCCCTCTAGGCTTTTTACTTACCGCTTTAGCTACCACTAGCAGCTTCACACCTGTCGTAACTGGATTCAGATCAGAGAAATTAATTTGAATATTTAATTAATTCTGAATGTTCTATGTAACACGGAGAAAAGATTGCTTTCCTAA